AACTGAGGCACAGTGAGGTTAAATGACTTGTCTAAGGTCACACAACTGCCTAAGAACTATTATGCTTAGTCTCTGTGAGGAAGCTTTACCTGATAATGTTGATTCTGTATCAGGCTGTCAACATGGCGTTCCTGTAATTAAAAATGAACAGAGGTTACTCCAGCAGTCTCTCAGCAACCCATTCACCTGAATATATTTCTAAATATTAGGACTAGAGAATTGCACAGGAGTTCCTGCCTGAAACACCCCCAAAACATTTTAGTTTGAAGTAATTTTATGTTTGAGATAGGAAGTGTCCCAAATGAGGGAAGGCAGGAAACAATTTTGTTTAAAAATAAACATAATGTTTAAAAGCCTTACTGTGAAGCTTCTCAAGTTGTGCCTTCTCCGTTTCCCATCAGGGTCTCTTTTGGGGCAGAAGGTGTTGTTGAACCAGTTACCAAGGTATAGAAATGACTTGGGGCTGGGGATGATGTTGAAAGGAGGTGGCAAGGTGCCACCTTCATCAAAGTAGCTCATCCAAAGCTTTGTCCTTGCAAATTTCCACTCAATGTCTGCATGATCCTATGAAAGAGAGAAGTTCACGGATTTGGGATAAGAAACTCCAAAATGCACCCATGTCACATTCTAAAAGTTCTACCTTGCTTCTATAGAAGGCAATCTTTCAGTAGCTATAAAAAATAAATTACACACACCCTGTGATCCAATAATCCTATTTTTAGAAACTTATCGATATACTTGCAAGAAGATGTAGGCACAGGGCTGTTCACTGTAGCTTGTTAATAGCAAAACATCTGGCAACAACCTAAATATCCACAGTGGGAAACTGGTTAAAAACATGATGGCACATCCATAAAATGGCTTACAATATAACTGTTTAAAAATATCTATGAACATTTCATATACAGAACATGTATATGTGTATATGCATTTGTCCATATATCTGTAAGACCTCCAAGACCTCTAAGTGAAAAAAAAAACAGCATAAAGCACAATATATGTTGTGTACAATGATCCCATTTATGTAACTGTAAAACCCATTATAAAACCTCCTTACATGTTCTAGATAGGTACATACTAAACTGTCAGCAGGAGTTATTTTTAAGGAGTGGGATTGGTGTGGAGAGGCTTTCTTTGAAAATAAAAAATCAACATTATTGGGAAATGATTTACACAGATTAATATTCACCTGTTTTAACTGTTTGATGAATTTTAACAAGCGTATATTCCTGTGTAAACACCATCATAATGAAGACAGACACAGCACACACACACACACACACACACACACACACACACAAACACGCGTGCATTTCTAGAAGTTTGGAGACCTGGATGGGTGGATGTAACCACCACTGCAATCAGGATACAAAACCGTTCCTTCGCCCCACAGAATTCCCTAGTGTTGCCCCTTTGTGATCAAACTCTCCCCAGCTCCTAAGTCCTGGCAACCACTGCTCCATTCTCCATCCCTATAGTTTCCCCTTTTTAAAATGTTATGTAAATGGAATCATACAGTAGGTAACCTTTTAAGACTGGCTTATTTCACTCAGCATTAACATCTTTGAGATTCATCTACATTTTGCATGTATCAATAGTCTGTTTTATTTTATGCCGAGTAGTTTGCTGTTATATGGCTGTAACCCAGATTGTTTATTCATTCACCCATTGAAGAACATTTGGGTTATTTCCAGTTTTTAGCAATTGTGAATAGAGCTGCTGTGAATATTCATGATAGGTTTTTGTGTGAACTTAAGTTCAATATCTGTGCCTTAAATTTCTAGCAGTGGTATGGCTGAGTCATGTGGTAAGCATGAGTTTAACTTTATAATACACTTCCAAACTGTTTTCTAGAGTGGCTGTACTGTTTTGCATTTCCACCACTTGCTCTGTATCCCCCTTAGCACTTGACAGGTTTTTAAAGTTTAGCCATTCTAACAGATAAGTAGTGTGCTTTCATTATGTTTTTAATTTGCATTTTCTAAATGGCTAATGATGGTGAGCAACTTTTCATATGTTTATTTGCCATCTGTATGTCTTCCCTGGTGTGGTGTCTGTTAGGTCCTTTGCCTATGTTTATTTTTTTGCACACACATCCCAGTGTGACAACCGAAAATGTCTCC